GCTTAATTAAAAAGAAGTCCTATCTACTTCAGCATTCAATCTGCTGTTTTATGTTGTAATTGTATAACATAAAGAAAATCCAGTCACACAAAGATATGTAGTTGGAAAAGAGAGAGGCAAGGTGTATTTTAGTCACCTTTTCAGATAATTTGGGCATTCTTTGCTATTACACTAAAGCTTGACAAGTAGTAGCTTTTAAGTTTGTTGCGATGTGGAATCTGAAGTAATATCAATAAATTTCTTACTCTGTTAAAATAAAATCCACTTGCTGGATTATTTACCTACACACCATTCTGTAGTGTTATCCACTGGGTCATTTTGAAGATGTTGGCTCACTGAGACTTGCAGGTCTTCCAAATGTTAACACACTTAGTATAAAATTAAAGTTTGCTAATACAACCACCGATAACATCAGAAAAATCTGTAAGTATTTAGAAGTGTCAGGCTCACAGTATAGAGAATACCAATTTTTCAAAATTCTTTTCTCCTGAAAGCTCAAATTTTATCATTGGCAATAAATCCTGTCAATTGTTTTTCTTAAAGTAACAGGCTCACTTTGTCCATTATTGTGAAAACATCTGCCAAACACCCGAGTCTGAATGACCACAATTATCAGTCATTCTTTCATGTAAACATGGGGTTCAATAAAATGTGACTAGTCTGGCTCAACTCAGTCACAGGCTGCCTTCCCTGAGATGGTCACACACTTTGGCCCGTGAAGAGCTTTGTACATATTCTCCATTTTGAAACAGAGACTATATTCAATCAAAAGATAAGGCTGAGATTTAATAAAGTACATAATTTTTACTTTTATCAAGGATATTCTTGAATAAAACTGACAATGTTTTACTACGAATATGATGCTGTGGAAAACATGATTACTACAGCAGAGGGATGCCACTGCTGTGATGTATGCTAAGGGGCTACATGTCCACAGACCACACTTTGGGAACCACTGAGGGGAATAAATGTTTCCAATACATTCTCGTCTCTCTTCCTTTTAATTTTGTATGGTTACAAATGGTTTCAGCATCTGCAAAAAGAGTGCTACATTTAACCTTCATATTAAGACAAAGTATTAAGAAACCCTTAAGAACAATTATTTCTTATTTTTCTCATTACTCCATGTTCATATAACTTCTATGGAAGTGTTCATTTTCTTACTTGTAAAGTAAGCTTTCAATCAGTTAAGCAAACATGAATGACCAAGAAAACCCTGTAAAAGAGCAATGTAGGAGGGGTACAGGCTATACCGTAGAGTAGGATACATTATGTCTGTAACTAAAAGTTGTGTTGGCACATGTATAGAGTCACAAACCAATGGAACTTTCCTAATTGACTAAAAATACAGAAACAATAAAAAGTATACACAAACATATTTAAACACAACATAAAAAAAAAGCCCTTTGCATGGAACAAAACACCCTGAGATAAATCAGATGACAAATACTTGCAATTTAACACAGACAATGGCTAATTTTACCCCAACTACATAAGGAGTTCTTCAAAATCAAGAGAAAAAAAACCACTAACCAAATAAAAAAATGGACAAAGAACGAGCAAGTACCACAAGAAATTACTCATAGGAAAGGAAATATATTTCATACATCAGATTGGCAAAAATCCAAGTTAGGCAACATATTTAATGCGAAGACTATAGAGAAACAGGCAAAACTGTGGGAATGCAAAATCAAACAACCCTCAAAGGCAGGAATTTGATGAAGTCTAGAAAAAGTATATATGCATATATGCTTTGAGCCAGCAATCCTACTTTTAGAAATCTAACCTATCAATACAGCCATAAAAAAAAGATGAGGAAAAGGCCTATACCAAAAACAATTTGAACCTGAATTTAATTAATACCAGTCTTTAAGAGAAACAAAAAAATATGCTGTGAATGTAGTTCCCTTGGTATATAAGGGAAAAGTAGAATTTTAAATCAAACCTTTATACTCAGCATCAATATCTAGGTTGTAACTAAATCAAAGGCATTTAGGTTATTCTAATGTAACATGTTAAACACAGATTGACAGGATAGTTTCTAGATCTTTCAAAACACAATAACTAACAAAACACAGGCCATTTGCTCAGCTTGAAGGAATCAGGGAAAAACATTAGATACAGTTGATTTTTGGAGATTTACAAAATCTCTAGATGGCATTTTAGCCATCTAAAAACCAGTATTTCTTTACACAGAGTAGTCAAAAATAACAAGAACTCATGCATTTATTTAAATTGAGAAAGTATCTTTCGCCAAGTTTCCTGACAACACAACCAAGCAAAATTAAAGTATGATTTTACACTGAATTATATTAAACTTCAGTTTTAATTAAATTTAAAAGAAAAGCAGAAGTTTTTGTTTTTAGTTTTGAAAAAGGTTTAATTTTTGCCTAGAATAAATAATCTGATCTGTAAAGCAAATTCTCATTAACCTCATCTCTGCTATATTTTTTGTCAACCTCTAACTCTTTACCCAGAAGACTACAAAATTGTGCTTTAATGTATACAGGGAAATGTAAAACCTATTGTAATCAAAATGAAAGCCATGTATTGTTATGCTTATTTAAATATGATTCAGAAACTTATTGATATCAGGACCTCTTTATATTATTAAAAATTACTGACCCCAAAAGCTTTTATGTGGGTAATATCTGTCAATTACCATATTAGAAATTAAACCAAAGAAAATTTTAATGTAATTATTCATTAATATAAAAAAATAAAAATAGAAATAATAAACCTGTTACATGTTGACACAAATGAATTTTGGGGAATCTATAATTTCCAAAACAAAAATTAACAAGAAAAGTAGTATCGTTTTACAGTTGTGCAAATATCTGGCTTAATTAAAAAGAACAGTCATATCTACTTCAGCATTCAATCTGCTGTTTTATGTTGTAATTGTATAACATAAAGAAAATCCAGTCTCACAAAGATATGTAGTTGGAAAAGAGAGAGGCAAGGTGTATTTTAGTCACCTTTTCAGATAATTTGGGCATTCTTTGCTATTACACTAAAGCTTGACAAGTAGTAGCTTTTAAGTTTGTTGCGATATGGAATCTGAAGTAATATCAATAAATTTCTTACTCTGTTAAAATAAAATCCACTTGCTGGATTATTTACCTACACACCATTCTGTAGTGTTATCCACTGGGTCATTTTGAAGATGTTGGCTCACTGAGACTTGCAGGTCTTCCAAATGTTAACACACTTAGTATAAAATTAAAGTTTGCTAATACGACCACCGATAACATCAGAAAAATCTGTAAGTATTTAGAAGTGTCAGGCTCACAGTATAGAGAATACCAATTTTTCAAAATTCTTTTCTCCTGAAAGCTCAAATTTTATCATTGGCAATAAATCCTGTCAATTGTTTTTCTTAAAGTAACAGGCTCACTTTGTCCATTATTGTGAAAACATCTGCCAAACACCCGAGTCTGAATGACCACAATTATCAGTCATTCTTTCATGTAAACATGGGGTTCAATAAAATGTGACTAGTCTGGCTCAACTCAGTCACAGGCTGCCTTCCCTGAGATGGTCACACACTTTGGCCCGTGAAGAGCTTTGTACATATTCTCCATTTTGAAACAGAGACTATATTCAATCAAAAGATAAGGCTGAGATTTAATAAAGTACATAATTTTTACTTTTATCAAGGATATTCTTGAATAAAACTGACAATGTTTTACTACGAATATGATGCTGTGGAAAACATGATTACTACAGCAGAGGGATGCCACTGCTGTGATGTATGCTAAGGGGCTACATGTCCACAGACCACACTTTGGGAACCACTGAGGGGAATAAATGTTTCCAATACATTCTCATCTCTCTTCCTTTTAATTTTGTATGGTTACAAATGGTTTCAGCATCTGCAAAAAGAGTGCTACATTTAACCTTCATATTAAGACAAAGTATTAAGAAACCCTTAAGAACAATTATTTCTTATTTTTCTCATTACTCCATGTTCATATAACTTCTATGGAAGTGTTCATTTTCTTACTTGTAAAGTAAGCTTTCAATCAATTAAGCAAACATGAATGAACAAGAAAACCCTGTAAAAGAGCAATGTAGGAGGGGTACAGGCTGTACCGTAGAATAGGACACATTATGTCTGTAACTAAAAGTTGTGTTGGCACATGTATAGAGTCACAAACCAGTGGAACTTTCCTAATTGACTAAAAATACAGAAACAATAAAAACTATACACAAACATATTTAAACACAACATTAAAAAAAAGCCCTTTGCATGGAACAAAACACCCTGAGATAAATCAGATGACAAATACTTGCAATTTAACACAGACAATGGCTAATTTTACCCCAACTACATAAGGAGTTCTTCAAAATCAAGAGAAAAAAAACCACTAACCAAATAAAAAAATGGACAAAGAACGAGCAAGTACCACAAGAAATTACTCATAGGAAAGGAAATATATTTCATACATCAGATTGGCAAAAATCCAAGTTAGGCAACATATTTATTGTCAAGACTACAGGGAAACAGGCAAAATTGTGGGAATGAAAAATCAAACAACCCTCAAAGGCAGGAATTTGACAAAGTCTAGAAAAAGTATATATGCATATATGCTTTGAGCCAGCAATCCTACTTTTAGAAATCTAACCTATCAATACAGCCATAAAAAAAAGATGAGGAAAAGGCCTATACCAAAAACAATTTGAACCTGAATTTAATTAAGCCTTTAGCCCAAACTTCAAATTGATGGGGAAGAGAGGAAATAGAAAGTGAGAGGAACAAGTTAAATGACACCATGAGGAAGCATATCCAGGAATTCTACAGGGCAATTGACCCAACCAGCTAAAGGCAAAACACCTGACATTTGGTAAATGGCAATTATTAAGATACAGGTTTGGTAATTAATAAGTTAAAGAAGAAAATGTGTTATGTTTATTTAAACCTTACTAAGATTAAAATTAAGTGGTGGCTTTTAAAAAGAACTATTAATTCATTCAACAGATTGTTTCCCTTTTTTAAGGTCATTATCTGCAAGGTCTTGGGCTAAGTACTGCAAGTACAAAGAGAATAAGGCATTACGTGCTGATTGCAAGGAAACACCAGGTAAATAAGTATGTATGTACAATTACAATACATGTTAGGAGCTATTATGGAGATAACCAAAATAGGAATGCCTAACTTTCCCTGCAAGGGAATGGATCAAAAAAGCCTTCCAGATGGGATAATTCTTTAGGAAGGAATAGATATGTGTCAGGCTACCTGGAAAAAAATAGATGGGTCTTTGTGGGTGCACTATCCCAGGCAAAAGGAATAGAAAATGCAAAGGCACCACACTTTGAGTACCCATATGCTCTTCTGTATGACCCCTGAACCTCTCTCAGAGAGTAAGCCTAGAGACACAGGCAAGAATTGTATCATAAATACATAGTGAAGAGCTTCATATAAACAACGGGCAATATTAAAAAGGATTAGATTTGTCCTTTAAGGAAATTTTTGTATCATTTAGAAAATGGACTAAGGTAGAGGAGGCTGGAGGAAATAGAACATGTTAGGTGGCCATTCTAATTTCTAGGAAAGAGAAGATTTGCGTTAACTAAGCAGTATGGGTTAAGAAAAGGAATTATGTTAAGAGCTATTTAGGAGACAGAGTTGAGTGATTGGATACAACGGTAAAGTAGTGAGAGAAGTCTAGAATGCCTCAAAGAATTCTGAATTTGGATGACTAGATGGATGAATAATGGGGATACCAACTGATATAAAGGGAATCAAGAGAATGAGGCAGCCTGGATTTAGGTTATTCTAATAATCTAGGGATATCTATTTATTAGGCAGGTATACAGAAGGATATGGATTTCAGGGAGATAAAATTGCTGGCAGGAGTCAATTTTTCATTATTTTTATCTCAATTAAACACCCAATTTTCCAATCCTGCCTAACAGTCTAACATTTAATAACCATTTCATGCTAGGTTATCTTACCACCTGTTCACCAAGTGCCCCTAATGTGTATTCCATTTCCACCACCACCACTCCATTTTACATCATTTTATCCCCAGCTATGGCAGGAGTGGGGTGAGGGGTGGGGGTGGGGAAGGACAGTGGAAACAAGAAGGTAAGGTAGGTTTTCAACATTCTGACTCTTCTGTAGCTTTCCAATGTTTGTTTTCCATGTGTTCCTGACTGGTGAACTACACTGCTCTGCTAAATCCCAGACACTACTTTGCACATTTCTGCACCTTTGTTCCCTTGTCCTTGAACCTCCACGTGGAATCCCACATCCCTTCTTCCTATCTGCTATAATGTTGCTGACTCATCTCATAAGGCCCAGCTCAGCTCATCCTACATGCTCTATACTGAGGATTCAAACCTTCATTCAAACCCACAGTGAGTTGTCCCTTCTGGGTTCTCACTTGGATGACACCTGGTCATATCTTTACATGTCTTTCTTTATCTTTTCTTTCACTATTTTGATTATAAAAGAAGTGTTCCATCTTAATAATTAATCCAAATCAGGTTCTCAATGTTGATTGGCCACATAATATTTCTATGTATCTGAGCCTATTTAGTGACATTAAGTAACTATTTTTGTACAATAACTGCCTTAAAAATTGTTTATTGGCATCCTGTACTCATGCTAGTCCTAAAATGCGCACGCGCACACACACGTTTTGAATTTCTGTTCTGGCAAAAAATTCTGAGAGTGAAGCCGCTGACGGAAAGAGTTGTAATTATGTTTCAATTAAAATCTGTGAAAGTAATTATCTAATAATCAAAAAGACTTTCCTTAATTTGTCATTTTCCTGATACCTCCTCCCATTTTCCAGATTAACTTTCTTGCAAGCTAAGATCAGATGCTATTCATGCACCTTAGTGTTCTTAAATCATTGCATTTTAATTGACATTTTAACTAAGGATAGACTCTACTTAAAGCTTTAACATGAGTATACTAAATCCAGTTTTCTAGTTAACCCAAAATAAATAAATCATTCATGTGATCTAAGTATTACTAATTTTTAAGCATGGAAAGGACATCTAATGGGAACGAGAGCATTGCACTAGGCATTCTGAGTTAAAAACACACACTCAAATCAAACCACCAATCACTGTGCACTACCAGAATTCTTCACTGTTAAACAGCTTATGTAAGAGCTCTTTTAAGACTACACAAAACATAAAAGCTACCTAAGGGAGCTTAAACAAGTAGGTGAATAATCAAAAAGTTATTTTTGATACCTCAAAAAATAGTAAATGGAATGATATGTAATTGAATGCTATAGGTAAGCCAACATAATGAAAAGGGTACCAAAAATTCTTTTCTCTTCTCAAATACTAAAAGACTTTTGAGCAGTTTCTGGGGCATCAGTTCTCATATTTGAAAAATTAAAGAGATGATCTCTAAGGGCCTTTTTGTATTAGTATTCTCTGGTTCTGTGTTGTGAGAGATTCTAAATGCTGATAGAAAGATTTCAGAAGAAAATAACCAAAATGCTTGAAGATTGCCTTCTCATTCTTTTTACTAGTTTAAAATAAATGCTTTTAAAACAACCATTTTACTTAGTCTATTAATAAGTTGGTTGGTAAACGCAGATTTTGAGTTTTTGGTAAATGTTATAAAACTAAGATTAGAAAATAGTCCATATTATATTAAGTAATTTACATAATTCTTATAACAGAATGACTAGTTTTAAATATATCTAAGATTTTTTCAAAGTTCTACACTCTATACTTTGTATAAATGATCCAATTAAGAAAACACACCATACTTCAAAAAAATAAAAATAAAAAATTTTAAATTAATTTCTTGTAAGGATCCATGTTGCTTAATTTTCTTCTATCTATAGTCCTCAGCCCCAAAATAAATCAAGGGATTCTGATAAGATATTTTATGTAAATGATGAGAGTGGTCTTAAAAGATTAAAATCTTTTACATCTATTATTATAAATGATTTTTCAAAGTCCTCACAAAATAACTTGTGGACTTTTTCTCAGGTATTTCTAGTAAAAGATACATTGTATAATTTTAACTTCAGCATTAAGGATTACTAGACCTGTACATATTAGTGAGTTTTAATTTTCCATAACTTATTTTCAGGGAGTTTATATAACATTAACAGGTCTGCAAATACAGCTGTTTCCTCACTAGGATGCAATCTCCAAAAACCACATTCTTCTCTTCTAAAAGAAGAGTCACATGATCACCGGTANTCACCTTCTATAGCAAAGAATCTTAGTTTCACTAGTTGCACCCCAAACTATCTTTTCTGTGGGTATTACAGTGGGAACAACTCTGTTTTTTCTGCACAATTACATGAGTGGTACCAAGACTTAAGGATTAAGTTCACATGACAATGGACATTTCCAAATCAATAAAATTATTCCAGTGATTGCTTTTAAAGGATTTAAAGACTAATCAAATCATGATTCTATTATGATTAAGAGAACTTACCAAAGTCACTCTTACCCATAATTCGAGTAAAATTATTTTTAATAACAGTTTGAATAGACATATGTGATTATTTAATCAGCAGAATTTAATTGGCAAATATTTTTAAATGTTTTTAATGTACCAGCAGATTTCTGCATTTCTGATGGCCAATAATTTTTTTGTCATTGCTATTATTATTCTTTTATTAATACTATTGATTGGTTTCTTAGAGGAAAACATTAAAGTATCAAATTAGAATGCTATATGGAAAAGACCCCAGATTAACTTTACTGATAAGCATTGAAGTAACATTTATTCCTATAGTGGCAAAACACAAAATACACGCCCCTAAGTCTTGAACGGCAATATTCTCGAATGCTGTAAGGCAACGGGGTCCTTCACAAAAGGCAACAACCTGTTTTCCCAAGAAAATATGTGTTTCTTTTTTCTGATTTAGAATACAAGATGATACTGTTTTTCTTATCAGAAATAAAAAATAAATGCAAGTGCTTCAAAAATACACATTTCCACAGAGTCAGAGAAAGGTAATACATTATAATGGTAACAGAGTAGCTTCCAAGCATCAGGTAAATATTTAAGCCTCAAATTATTCCTTTTTTAAACGGATGACATCTCAACTTCGTAAGACTTGTTATGAGGATTAAATAAGATAAGATATGAAGAAAAAAACCTACTACTGTGTCAAGAATGCAGAGTGCACAAAATAAAAAGTATACCTGTATTCAAATTTCAGATAGAATTTCTGCCAAGATTTGTGAATTTCCCTCCATTCTGGATTATTTTTTCCTACGGCCTTCATTAAGTAAAGAATTAAATTATTGTTAGCACTATATTCCCCCACATACCCTCTTGGGTGTCTTTTCCTTCACTCTGTGTAGTTTTTTTTTCTGATGACAAAAGTAGTATTTATTCAAAGTAGAAAATAAAGTACAAAATAACAAAAATTCTTTACAATTTCAATTTATGAAAATAACCACTTTTAACATGGCAGTTTCTATCCTTCCAATATATTTTTGTAAGCATATATGTATATACATAAGACTATATTTACTAGAGATCATAATTCTATACAATTTTGTAATTTCCTTTTACCAAAAAGTTCCCCAAAACACAAATTTTAGTAACTTCACAATAACAGATTATGCTTTTAATTATGAATTTAGGTGACAAGTTTTTAACAGTCCCCTCTATTGCTCTTACCAAGTGACACTCTTCAAAGACATCTGTGATCCATAATGATATAATTATTTTTAAAAAACCACTGAATTTCTGTACTTGATTGATCACATTTATATTTAAGTTTATTAAATTAATCACCCTATTACAATGAATTAACTAAAATCTTAGAATCTAGAGAAATTTAGAGGGAAAAAAAGAGGTAACTTTTTCAATTACAGTCATTCTGCTATATAACACAAAATATGTGCTTCCAAGAAAGTCACTGAACCACACAAAATCACGCACTAAAACCCAGAAGGCTTACGAGAAAAATAAGGTTAAAGACAACATTGAAAAAAACTCTGTCAGTCTTACATTAAAAAAAAAAGTGACCTAACAAAAAATGGTACCAGTTCTGCACATGTCAAACTGTTAAAAAATACATAAACAGAACATTAAATATGACATGTTACCTTGAGAAAGACCTGAAGGTGGCTGGT